TGTTGTACGAAGATCTCGGTTGTTGTCGTTGAGCGCTGTGGCATGAAATCTTTTTACAACACACACAGCAACAACTGTAGCAAAAACAATGCCCAAAAATGCCATAATTCTTGGTCATACGCACAAAAGTGTGCCTGTGCCACACTTTATACGAAATAAATAATTACAAACAAGTCAAGCAGAAGACAACAGTAACACCAACACCAGAAAAGGGAGGAGTAGCAGCAGAGCGGATGTGGAAGTGGAAGTTGTGTTGCAAGTGTGTGCCACAAAGGAGAGGGAGAGAGAAGTTCTAGTGCAAAGTGCATTAGACTATGGTTGGTTGTTGGTTGTGACCCAAATGGAAGGGAAAAAACAGTCTCTACAAGTGATCAAAGCGGGTTTGCGTAGAAAAATGTACATTGAATATGTTTGATATATAATAAGAAAAAAAAACAATGAAAAAATGTGAAGGAAAAGGGGAAAATGATTAGCGTAAAGTTCAAAGAGCGACACTTTTATTTCTGCGGAATTCTCTAATAAATTCATGACAAATTCAACTTCTCGTAAACTGGAGAGCATTCCAACTTCGTTGTCAGGGAAACCTGTGCCCTTTCCCTTTGCCTCGGTAGTTGTATTTATGAAGATGACATGACGCGTCGTCGACCTCTAACAAACACAACCTCTCCCTTCTTCCTTTCTCCAGCCAGTGCCTCTGCAAGTGCTGCGACTAGACTCTTACGCAAAAACCTCTGCCACAGAAAAAAACTAAAACAAAAATTATGGCAACAAAACTTTATCAAAAAAAAAAGAAGAGAATTGCAAGTTGAGTGAAAAAGTTTTGTGTTTTTTAAACATTTGCTTCTACATATTTGTTTTTTGTTTTTTGTGTTTTGTGTTTTTGTTGCATGTTTCCCCGTGGCAGGAGCATCTTTGAAGTAAGGGGGGAAACAACCTCAACGAACTCTGGCTGGCTCCTGGCCGTTTCTTCTTTGTAGTGACTTCTCTTGGCCAGTGCCAACTGTTTTAGCATTTCTATGGCCAAGTTTTCAGACGGGCAAAATGTTTCCCAGCACTCTCTGTGTGCATTTATGAATGTTTAAGCCAGTTTCAAATAGAAGAAGTTTTTTTGGTGAAACAATTGAAAAATTCATGGACAGACGTTGTAGAAGTTTTCTCCTCTCTCCGAACTCTAATGATGGCTAATTATTACAAAATATACTCTCCAGACAAACACATGAGACGGGGCTCTGCTACTGCTGCTGACCCTCAGGGCAATTTTCTGAGCGACAGCAAAAGAACTTTAGTATGCAAAACAAACTTAATTTACATTTTAAAATCCATCAGATGGCAAAAGCTTGTTTAAATAATTTGCAAAAATGCACTTACCCCTACGGCTGACACAAGGCAAAACTTTAGTGAAATAGCAACAAAAAAAATCTGTTTTTCTTTCGACTTGCACATGGTAATTTTCCCCGGCCACCTCCGTGGCGGCTCTTGATGCTGAAATCAACTTAAATAAAGCAAATGAAATCCTATATGTATGCTCTACATATGCATATCCATATGCATTTCGTATGCACCAAAAAAGGGCACGGTTCCGACCACCCGTGGGGCACTAGTTCATAATTATTTGCATGGGAAATACTATGTAAATCGGTTGGTAGCCAAAGCAAATGTTAAACAAGTTTTTTCCCCATATATTTCGTTCCTGTTTTTCCCCTGTTGATTTTCCACTGATCGAACTGCTTGGGGGGGATTTTCGACTCTAAATGTTTGGATTTGGTTTTTGGCAAACAAAAAGTTCCTTTGATTAAAGCACAGCAGGGGGGATTGGAAAGTTCAATGGAAAAGATAGCTTTGGACAGTTTGGACCTTTGTGGATTAGCTTGTGATTAGCATTGATATATATATTGTATGCTGTGACGAGCAGCGAGTCTTTGGCCAATGAATGTGTGGAAAATTGTAAAGAATTTGAAACCTTTTCATATAAAGAAATGATAGCATGCACATTGCGACTCCGCGTAAAATCCTGAAGCGGATTCTTGCTACATCCTCAAATAGCTCTCTAGAAAAATTACAACAGCTCCCACACCTTTAAGAAATCAATATTCATCAATGAAAATTAAGCTAAGAATGTGCTTTCCCCCCAAAGTTTAGCTGCGCTTCCCAGAATTTCTGATGAAACGTAGAAAAACGTAAAATAAAAAGAAAAACAAATTGATATCAGATTGCAAACCGCCAAGAACCCAGCGAAAAATGTACAGAGAGTGGATAGATTACTTGTATTTTAAGATTTCTAATTTAATTTTAGTGCTTTAAAGAGTTTCAGTAGCATGCAAACAGTTTGCCTTAATTTTAAGATTGATTTCAGCACTCGATACATACAATATATTTTTATTAACTTTTAACTTCATTCGTTTTTGCGCCTTTTGATTTCACATTATTCTCTCATTTCGCGCAGCAAAAACAGCAATGAATCAAATTTACTCCGATAAAAAATTGCCCAACAATAAGTAACGTTTTAAGGGAAAAAATACGAAACTTAAAGTAAACAAATGGTGGGCAATTTGTTTAAGTCTTTTTCTTCAGTGTTTTTTTTCCGTGTGGAATAATTCAATTTCTTTTTTTGCTTTGTGCGAATGAACAGCAACTGTTAATTACAATAACAGTGCCCCAAAAGTTTCTACATGATGGGTAGAACAATACAGTAAAAAGAATATATAATAGAAGATTCCCAGGCAACGACAATTAGATACCCGCTAGTCAGTTTTTAGCAGAGACTTTAAAATACATAAAACAAATTTCATTTAATTTTTTAAGTCGCTTTCCAGCATCCACTGATTTTTTGTTTCGTGGCATGCAACAGACAAATACACACCCAATTAAGTACACCTCTGATTACATTGATTAAGGGGTATTTACAAAATAATAAAAGGTAGATTTTGAGGGTACGCAGAGCAGTGCCAGTGCCCAAATAGCAATTGAAAATGCAGCCGCAGAGTGTATTGAGCTGTTTGCGTTTTATATATCTACAATATTCTGATGCTGCTGCTGCCAACCAAAAATCTCAACACAATATAGTTGTTGCTTCATCTGTTTCGTTCTTTTTTGCGTACATGAAATACTATATAGATGGTAAAAAAAGGAACCCTACGTGGCATAACAATGAACAGAGCTAGTGAAAAATATACCCAAAACATATATATGTGTATATATGGTAGATGGGTAGATGTGGCACACAAAAAACAGATTTGCGCTGAACAAAATACATGAAAATTGAAGCAGCAGCCGTGCGGGAAACCATGGCAAGGAGTATTAGTAGCAGCAGCAGAATGGGAAACTATAGGAGAGCGTAGAAGGAGTAGAAGTGGTATTAAAACCAGAAAAATATACACATAAAAGAACCTGGTAAAAATTTAGCAGGCAGACAAATTAAAACTAAGCGCTGGATGTGCAAACAAGCTACCAAAAAGGCTGCCCACTCGACCCAATGGCTGACTGCTGGCTGGCTGCTGTTGCTGCTGCTGCTGGTCGCCACTCCACTCGACCATTTGCTCCATTTAGCTGTATACACACACTCATACCAGAACACACACACACACACACACGTATAGAGACTAACGGGTACTTGGCAACTAAACTGCGTGCTTAGTTTTATTTGACCAGTGCTGCTCCAACTGTAAAGCGACCGCACACGGAAAGCTTCAAAGTTTCATTTTTACTACTAAAAAATGAACAAAAACATGGGAAGGTATATAGCGAGGGGATTAGGGTTACAAAGAGTCGTAGATACCCTTTTACTGTTTGAGAATATGTAATATTTATAGAATGATGTTTCCCTTACAACAATTGCTTAAAAGAATTGTTTTTATTTCCCAAAATTTTCTTTTACATTACCAAAATCTCATGGCCATCATCCTCCTCCTCCACCCTCTTTTGCAGGGCATCAACATTGGTTATACCCAGCGAACAACCAAATTTTGATTGGAATTGTTTTCCCCTTGGCTAGAGCTTCCATTTCTCCAATATTTCACCAGCAATTAAGGCGAAATTCATGACATACTTCTCAGCGGAGAATTGAATTTAATGCTCTCCCAATTGGTTTTATAGTAAAAAACTCTTTCAAGATTTCAGTGCATTTCCACTTGTCCGGAAAAGCGGAAAGCAAACAAACCAATTTGATTTCAATTATTTCCGCTGCAATTGCAATTTTTTAGTTTGTGAAACAGAAAAGCGGAAAACTATTGCAAAATATGAAACCTAATGCAAGCTGCAAGTGTGCGGCGTAAATACCTATAGCAAATACACGGATTGGGTTTCCATTCTTTTTAACAATTATTCCAACACGATTTTGGCTGTTATGAGGCGCAAACAAATAATTACCGATTTTTTAGTTGGAGTAAACTTAAGGCAATAAATTTGCACTGATTTTAGAGTTGGAAAATATTAAGAACTTCTCCTGAAATTGGAGTAATTTGAATTGGTAGTTTATGAAGTTTTAGTTAAAAAACTTTTCCAATGCTCTTTGTGGGCTTCCAAGGGTATATTTCCACTGCCAGACCTTTTTCCTGCCAGAAATTCGCTCAACAAAATATTGTACAACTTTTATTTTCTCGTTTTACATTCCAAAATGCATCTAATATTGAGCAGAAACGCTTTCCGAGAACACCAATCAGCAATTTGTTAGCCAGTTTGCATTCATTTTCCTTTTGCTCCCCCCACTCGCCCACTGTTATGGCTTGGGGTTTTTGCGTGGCATGTGAATTATTCATTTTTGTGGTATAGATTTACAATTTCTGCATCTCTTTTTTGTGTGTGTACGTTCTCTGGTTGGTATTGATTTCCATTCCCACTCGCATGCCATAATGGTACAAAAATAAATCAAATCAGTTTAGGAAAATCGCTGTGTGTGTTTTGTGGGCGGGGAAGACAATTCATATTTCTGTATTAATTAAATGTCACCAGTTTAAATATAAATATCCACCTCTCTCTCTCTCTCTCTCTCTCTGTTTTTGCAGGCAAACTGTGGCTTTGGCTTGGCCTGATGATTGGAGTGGTGCAACAGATCGGAGCGGATGATTCGCTGGATACACGCGAAGGCGTCGATCTGGTGCTCAAGTGTCGTTTCACCGAGCATTACGATTCGACTGACTTCACCTTCTACTGGGCCCGTTGGACATGTTGTCCCACATTGTTCGAGAACGTGGCCATTGGCGATGTGCAGCTCAATTCGAATTATCGGTAAGTGCATGGATGTGGCCCAGTCCCCTCTGTTTCTGTCCCTGCAATGTCCTTTCGAACGGATGGACTGGACATCTGTGTGTGTGTGTGTTCAATGGACTGATAAATCACTGACGGCCTCATAAATTCAACGCTGATGGCTGTCAGACGAGCGTGGATGCAAGAACGGGTTAAGGCAACCCAGGCAGGACATTTATTTAATTGCCTGCCTGACATCGACACTCAACGGAGTCCGCCCCGTAGGCTTTCGCCTCCACTGCCTCCACTCACATATTCATTGATAAAAAGATGAAAGATGCGCTGGCATCCAAGTCCTCACTTCTCTTGATGTGCGTTGCGATGCGTTCAACTGTTAAATTTATTAAAATTGCCAGCGACAACGTCGTCGCAATGTCATCGATGGGCATTGTACATCATTAAATGTTCATCTGGCATGGGCGATAATTCATTAGCCCTGAACACAGCAAGCTGCGAGAGCAATCGCCCATCAAGTGCAGCTGTTGGCCAAGAGTTTTCTAGGCTACACAAAAACGGCAAATTATTGCTCAAAAAAGGGGGAATAAGGGCTGGCTTTTTTGTCTCAAACTTTGCTAATGAGAAAAATCTGCGCAAAATTGTTAAATCAATAATCAGATTACCGAAATGCTTGCGAGTTATGCAGCAGCGTACATCGGTCTGGTATGGTCCATTTTTAGCCACTAAATTGCTAGATGGAGCCCATTGTACGCCTCTTATTGGCAACACATTGCGTATACGCAAGGTTCAGTGCTTTAAAAAATAAAAAGCACGGCAAAAGGGAAACACTTCTAGAACTCGACGGATAATATGCGTTGAATATTGCTCTCCAGCAGGGCAGGGCAGGGCAGGCAGCCAGCATATTTATTTATTAATCATAATAATCATTTTCCGCAGCATTTTGAGCGTGAATAAGCAACAACAACGAAACGAAGTACAACAGCAAATACAGAGCAAAAGCAGAGCGAAAAGTACAACAAAACAACAGCAAAAATTAAGAGGGAAAAGCGGGGGGAAATGTAGGATAGGAAAAATCATTCAATGCGGCGTATGCTGCAAATCGTTTGGAAAATTTTCAACAAGGTTCGCCGCTATTCAAAATACATGCCACCAAACAAAGGCACTGCATAGAGAGACAGACACACCACCAGACGACTAGCGCAATAAATAAATGATCTATAAACAGGAGTAGAATATGTATATTGTATACACCTAATTCGAGTATATATTCATGCACTGCATATATCACATGGCCAAGTGGGAGGCAGCAAAATACAACAAGAATTTATTATTACAAAATGCTGCTAATCGCGCGTTAAACAATTTCCTTGATTTATGTGTGCAACAGCGAGAAAAGCATGGGGCTAATGGCCCAAAGCAAACAGCAGCAGGAACATTTGAGTGGGGTTTTGGAGTGTGGGGCTAAGAGGGGTTGGGGTTGTAATGGCATTTCGATTTTTAAGCCAATTTTAGACAAAGCTCAAGAAAATTCTAAGGAATACTAAAGGAAATTCTTTGAAGTTTAAGAAACAAATTTTAAAAATTGTGAAACATAAATATTAACAAAGCATTTTTTGCCTCTGAATATGCCTTTAATACAGAAATTATCGAACTACAAATATTTATTTATAAGAAATACTTCGGAAAGATACTTATTTTAACATTTTTTTTAAATTTTTAATATTTTTTTTAGGAAAATAGTAGAATTTTTGAATGATTTATACATTTTGCAAGATAATTATCTAAATAATTTTATCTAATAACTTCCTGGTTCATAAACATCTGAAGCAATTTTTTGAAATTCATTTCCCAATTCCTGCTCCTTTTTTTTACTTTTCTAAGCAGAGCTGCTCCCAATTTCCTACATTCCTGAGATTTCTTGCTATTTCTAGTAGCTTATCCTTTTTTTTTGAGTTCTTGCCCACTTATCGTCCTCACCTGCAAGTGAAAACCTGGCAGTAGTTCAATTAAAGCCTTGCTAACATTTCCCTTTTGCCTTCAAGCGGTATTTCGTTTTTCTAGACACAAGTCCTAGCTAGCTCCCACCTTAACTAGCCATTAGTCTCAGGCAGCAGCAGCAGCAGCCACTCTAAACTCTGAACAGCAGCAAAAAGACAAGAAAAGAATTTTCCCAGTCAAGTTGCAGATTGTTAAAAGGCCAACCAGAGATTTTTTTCACTCCGTTTCTTTTTTAGACTTTTTTTTAGTAGAGCCCCCATACATTTAGTCATTGACAGGCGGAGGAGGCGGAGAGGCGGAGAGGCTTACAAAAGGCAATTGTGATCCCTAAAAGGCGTGACTGGGCAGGCAGCCAGCAGCAGGATACGGTGTAAAAATCTGTACAACATTTTTTTGCACACGAAATGGGGTTTGCCTCTGTTTTGCATTGACAACGAAACAAAAGGCTAATTGGAATGTTAGACAAAAGAAAAATGGCTAGTAGAATCACATGGAACTAGTCTTTATATCAAAAATCATCTCTGGGCCCATCCTCCATCTCCCTGGCTCAATTTGTAGTGTGGATTTTGCTGCTCTTTCCGGGTTGGGTATGATGACATTGGCTTTTCCATGGCCTAAAAAAGACTGCACACCACAGCGATCTCTTGCAAGAGTATTCCACATTCCACTGCTCTCAAGCGCCACCCTTTCATTCCCAATTTTTCTAATTTTTTTATGAAAAAAAACTGTCTGTTAAGCCAGGCAGAAGGAGAACCAGAAACAGCAGCAGCAGCAGCCGTGTACCGGCGCAGCCAACAGGCAAAAAAGATAAATTGTTTTTTAAATGAATTCAATAAAGCGTGTGTGTGCCACAAACAAATACAGAAATATATAGAAAATACAGGCCTACAAAACAGGATAACAAAAATAAAAAGAAGTGACTCTCTTCTGGTGCTGGGCTGGGCGGGGGGCTTGCTCATTTGCATTTCAATTTGCATAAGTGTAGGCAGGAGGTATTTCCATATATCTCTGATAGATGTCGCGACTGTGGGGGGCACAAACAACATTCGGGTATCCAATTGGAAACCACACACGTGTTGCCATTTCCACATAGGCATTCGGAGGCGGAGGCGCAAAAGTCAGGCATTTGATCTATATATTTTGATGTGTGTGTGTGTTGGCAAGGTAAAGGTTAAATGTTGACCCGCACCAGTAGCAGCAGTAGCAGCAGTAGCAGCATAAAATGGTAAAAGGCAGAAAGCAGAGCAAAACAACCATTCCCGGTGATAACAACAGGCGGCGTTTTGCATAAATAGCTGAAATTATGGCCCGCACACATCCATCACAGAAATGTTTGGCAGCAGAAGGCTTTGAGAGATGCTAAAAAGGATCTTCCGTAGAAGGAGCAGATCCCAAACTCATGGAACTGGTGACCCTGATCCCTCGTACAAGTCGAAAACATGCTTTTGGTGGCCCCAACCCCATGTCAGATGCCCGTTGCAAGGTCTTTGATGACACAGATCCCTTTTGCAAGAGAGAAATCCAATATTGGTAGCCAGGGAACATGTATTTGGTGACCCCGAACAATCGTTGACTTCTTTCAGGAGCAACTCTGAGAGCAAAGTTTCCTTTTCTAAGCCATTTTCTTCTAAAAATGCCATCAAAACTCGTTCAATTTTATTCGCTTAACAAATCAACTTCCAGGAGTATCGAACCCTAAATGATTTATCCGCCCTTAACTCTCATGGAATCTCCTTCGATTAAAGTATCTCCATTTAACTGCCTCTTAAAGTCAGCAAAATCCAATAAAGCTCGTAAAAAACGAAAAGATCAAAAACTGGAAATCATTTAAGCCATTCCCCCAACGCCCCACGACTTTCTCCTACTCCTTGTAATACCTCCCATGAGAGAGAGCTGCAATGAAACATTTCTGTTACGATAGGAAGAACCACAACAAAGAGGCCAAAAACGGTGGCAGCAAATCAAAATTAAAAATCGATAGACAACATGAGTTTCATATTAAATTTTCTTTTAACACAATTGAAAAATGCTTCTCGTGCCCCGTCCTGCTGCTGGTGGATGGCTTTTCCTGCCTTTTGCTCTCTATCTGCTCAGTGAAAAGCAAATTTTTTTGATTGTTTCCTACACTCCAGCGGGTTCCTGGTCGAAATGTTTGTGGCACTTAAACAACACAAAATTCCAATATCATTCAACAAACAGGCAGGCAGGCAGGCAGGCAGGCGGCAGCTCGTGCAGGGGCAGAACTCGAGGTTGTTAAGGTCATCAAAATGACAAAACTCGAGCCGGAGGGAAGCGGAAGAACAGATAAGAGCCATGTATCGGACATTGGTCAGAGCCGAGTACACATCAATCCATCACTCATTCATTCATTGATTCATACATTCATTGTGGCTCTAAGGCCTCGCTCGATACGTGATGGAACGTTGCCATTTTGAAGCTTGATTGATTCCCTGCCCGAAAAAAGGAGAAAACTCAAAAAGAAATTAGCTGACCAAGTGGCTTGGGTGTAAGAAGTGACTTTTGTAATTGGTTACATGCCAAGGTGTGGGAGGGTAACTTTTTCCAGCTTGCATCTTCTATCTTAAGGAAATTTTCAATCATTTTTGGGGGAAACACGGGAGAATTTCAGTTCAATGCAAACTATGTTCGTCGAAGAGTATCTTGAGATATTTCGATCACCCCTTGATCGCAGAAATTGAGTACCGAGTGCCTGTGCTGCTCCCACAATTACTCCCGCTTCCAAATCAAAAAGCCTTTCCCTTTAAGCCACCATTTCAAGGGCCCTTTAAGCTGTAAGCCAGCAAATGACAACAGCATTACATGAGAAAGTGAGGAGCGTACAAAAATACCATTTAAAGTGAATTATTCATAAAGTTTTTGAGTTGAAAGATGGCGAAGTGGAGGCGGAGGCGGTTTGGGCCAACTGTTTCCTGTGTGTCAGGGCCATGGCTCCTCTCTCTCTTTCTCTCTTTCTCTCTCTCTGCGGCCTTCTGCGGTTATTGCGGGCGAGGAATGGCGGCCGGAAG